TTTTTTCAGTTCTCCAGAACTGATTGGGCGTCACGTTTTTCCTCTAGCTTGTGATTTTTTTTGTGGACATCGATCCAAAAAACACAGAAGGAGCTCTGTGTCTGTCATCTGAGCACAGCGTGTGGTTGCTGTTCAGCCTATTTGGCTGAAGCATTATATCTACCAAAAAGAGCCAGAAGCTTAATAATGAACAGATATAAGTGATTTCAGGAGTATTTTCATCTCAAGCCAAAGAAGTAGGACTCTTTGTTTGTGATGGATGCCTTACCTGAGCTCTGTGCTATCTGCAAGAGAGATGGCAGGCTTCCTCACTGCACTGCTGCACGCCTGGCTGTTACTGCAAGTACAAATATTTGGCAACTTTAAAAACCCATGCAAAGAAATGCATTATAAATGGTAAAAGTAATTATGTTAAAAAACAGAGGGCGAAAAACCTGACATAACTACATCCCTAATAAAGCTAACACCAGCCATGGCAAAGCTGACAAGCTCTGCATCCTCAATAGATTGTGTATAATTTGAAAGATGTTGCATGTTTTGTACTTTTCTTTCTCCCTCTTATTATCTACTGAAGGCATTTGTCCCTTGCTTACTCCATCTCCATGCTGAGCAGCTCCAGCAGGGCGGTGAAGATCCCCATGTCATAAAGCAGGAAGATGTTGTGCCTGGACCAGTGGAGCACATCCACCTCCGTGTCACACTCATCAAACACTCCTGGTGAAAGGTGTGGGAAAATGAGAAACAGAATGAGGATTTTCAATAATCCAAGTCCACATATTGCGCTCATACAACTAAAATTTAAATGGTGAGGAAACTTAATTAGAGGCCTGAAGGTCAAATAATAAAAGATCCAAGTTATAAAATAGAACTAAACTATTATATGTAAGGATATGTGCTGTGTTAGTTAGTGCTGGGTTTATAGAAACGAACCCTGAGCCAGGTAGAGGATGGCCCTGGCCACCTTCAGCCTCTTGTCCCTGTCCGTCACCTCCAGAGCGTCCAGCAGTCTCATTACATAAGCTTTCTGTTCATCCACAGTCAGTTCTGTCCACCGTCTGCCTCGAGCTGCAACACAACGCTCCGTTACTCTATGATGCTTTGTTTTAGATCTTTAAACAGATTTCAGTATCAGAATATAAAAAGGAGATTTTATATTATGCCTGGGGGGGTTAAACTAATCAGGCCTTGTGATGCATTAGCTTTGATTAACCACAGTTTCACTTGCCTCATCAATGCTTGATAACTAAAAGCAGGAAAGCACTTGCACCGAGCCCATCTGCACCTGCTCATGTTGATCTATTTATAGAAATGCCCAAAGCACGGTCACTTGGTGTTTCATCCACATGCCTTTCAAAATGTGGCTTTAAAATTTCTAAAACATGCTTCAAAATTGTTTTTTTTTTTCACAAATATTTTCTGTTTTATAGCTGTAAAAAAAATGCAAACCAGGTTTTCCCGCTGCACCTGTGACTGATGATGGGGCCATGCGTCATAATTATTTTGCAAATTTTTCGACAGAAGCTTCTGATTCTAATTGATTTTTACATTTTTGTACTGTTTTTGATTTGTAATTCTTTTTTTCAATAAAATGTCCCTATTTGATGACAAAAATTATACTTTTCAACTATTTCTATTCAGTTTGGTGACATTATGGTGTGTTCAATGGTGCATTTCAATGAAACAATGGTTTAGTCTTAGGAGCAAAGGCTTTGTCTTATGCAGTAATGTTAATCAGCATAATGTAAATCTGGACAGATTCTCTTTTATGAATGGTAAAATGCATTTGCATTTAATCAAAAAATCTAAAATATTCATTAATATATTTCTGGCAAACAAATACAAACAATTGTATTTCAAATTCATAGTTTTGGGGCTGTACTTGCTTTAAATCACATATGTAATGTCAGGCGGAATTTGCCCCTACACTAC